TAACCATGCCAATGCAGTCTTTTTTACATTTTGTTTTTTATATTGTTGTTTGAGACAGGGTCTTGTTCTTTCACTAAGGCTGGAGTGCAGTGGTACAATTCTAGTTCACTGCAGCCTCAATCTCCCGGGTTCAAGCAATCCTTCCACCTCAGCCTCCTGAGTAGCTGGGACTACAGGCACATACCACCATGCCTGGCTAATATTTTTATTTTTTAGCAGAGACAGGGTTTTGTCATGTTGCCAAGGTTGGTCTTGAACTCCTGAGCTCAAGAAATCTACCTGCCTCAGCCTCCCAAAGTGCTAGGATAACAGATATAAAGTACACACCTGGCCTTTTTTTTTTACACTATTAACTGAAGAAAGCTGGGTACCCTTTACAGATTTTTTAAGATTAGAAAACAAAAGAAGTTAGAAGGAGCCAAATTAGGACTGTAAGGTGGATGCATAATGACTTCCCATTGAAACTCTCACAAAGTTGCCCTTGTGTGATGAGAGAAATGGAGCTGAAGCATTGTGGTGGGGGAGAATGACTCTCTGGTGAAGCTTTCTCAGGTGTTTTTCTGCTGAAGCTTTGGCTAACTTTCTCAAAACACTCTCATAGAGAGCAGATGTTACTGATCTTTGGCCCTCTAGAAAGTCAACAAGAAAAATGCCTTGAGCATTCGCCAAAAAACTGTTGCTGTGACATTTGTTGTTGACTGGTCTGCTTTTGCTATGACAAGATCACTTCCACCTCTCGGTAGCCATTGCTTTGATTGTGCCTTGTCTTCAGGATCACACTGGTAAAGCTGTTTCATCTCCTGTTACAATTCTTCAAAGAAATGCCTCAGGATCTTGATCTCACTTGTTTAAAATTTCCATTGAAAGCTCTGCTCTTGTTTGCAGCTGATCTGGATGCAATGGCATTGGCACCCATTGAGTAGAAAGTTCGCCCAACTTTAATTTTTCAGTCAGAATCGTGTGAGCTGTACCAGTTGAGATATCTATGGTGTTAGCTATTGTTTGTGCTGTTAGTTATTGCTCCTCTTCAATTAGGGCATGAACAAGATAATTTTTTTCCTTGCAAATTGATGTAGATGGTCTGCAGCTGCAGCCATCATCTTCAATATCATCTCATCCCTTCTTAAGACGTTATCTATTTATACACCGTTCATTTCTTTGGGGCTTTGTCCCCATAAACTTTTCTTAAAGCACCACTGATTTCACTATTCATCCATCCAAGCTTCACCATAAATGTTGATGTTTGTTCTTCGATTTTAGCAGAATTCACGTTGCTCTGAGAGAGGCTCTTTTCAAGTTGATGTCTTATCCTTCTTAGTGCCTCAGATGAAATCCCATTCAGATATGTTATAACAAGTTAGTATGAGTTTATTTTGGTGCAAAATAATTTGAAATACTTGTGTAGTTTTTTCACGTCCTGTGTTTTCCATGAACTTTTCTAAGTCCCCTTGTATAAGATTATTATATGATTCATTTGTTGTTGTTGTTTTGAGATGTGCAATGGCACAATCTCGGCTCACTGCAACATCCGCCTCCTGGGTTCAAGTGATTCTCCTGCCTCAGACTCCTGAGTAGCTGGGATTACAGGCATCCGCCACTACACCAAGCTAATTTTTATGTTTTTAGTAGAAACAAGGTTTTACCATGTTAGTCAGCCTGGTCTTGAACTCTTGACCTCAGATGATCCACCCACCTCTGCCTCCCAAAGTGCTGGGATTACGGGCGTGAGCCACTGTACCCAGCTTATATGATTTCATTTATATGACATTTTAGAATAGGCAAAACTATACTGATAGAAGGCTAAGTGGTTATCTGGTGTTGGAATGGGATAGAGATTCTGCAAAGGGGGATGAGTGAACTCTTTTGGGGTGATATTTGGGATGATAGTAATTTTTTTTTTTTTGAGATGGAGTCTCACTCTATCGCCCAGGCTGGAGTGCAGTGGTGTGATCTTGGCTCACTGCAACTTCTGCCACCCGGGTTCAAGCAATTCTCTTGCCTCACCCTCCTGAGTACAGGTGCCTGCCACCGTGCCTAGCTAATTTTGTATTTTTAGTAGAGACAGGGCATCTTGGCCAGGCTGGTCTTGAACTTCTGACCTAGTGATCCATCTGCCTTGCCTCCCAAAGTGCTGGGATTACAGGCATGAGCCACTGCACCCAGCTGATAGTAATGTTTTATATCTTGATTGTTGTGGTGATTACATGGGTATATACATTTGTCAAAATCAAACTATACTCTTTTTTTTTTTTTTTTTTTGAGATGGAGATTGCTCTGTAGCCCAGGCTGGAGTGCAGTGGCACAATCTCGGCTCACTGCAGCATTGACCTCCTCTGGGGCTCAAGCACTCTACCCACCTCGGCCCCTTGAGTAGCTGGACTATAAGCATGTGTCACCAAGCCCAGCTAATTTTTGTGTTTTTTGTAGAGACAGGATTTCACTATGTTGCCAAGCTTGGTCTCAAACTCCTGACCTCAAGTGATCAGCCCCCCTTGGCCTCCCCAAATGCTAGGATTACAGGCATGTGCCACTGTGCCCAGCCTGGTAGTTCTCAAAGTAGATTTTTTTTTTTTTTTTTTTTTT